CTCGAGTTGCAACCAGAGTCACAGAACGGATTAAGTTCGTAACTAGAGGTACCACTATATATTTAAAAAGGGAGAAAAGATTTGCCATTCAATTTAAAGTTAAATTTAAAGGCAAGATAGGTATCCCCAAATGATTAAAATTTCTTGGCTATCTAGAAAGCTAAAAGTCATTAATTTCAGACCAATTCAGTAGAGTAAAATGGGATGCTACTTTTAACAGAGTGTTTGCTGTGTTTGTATGTTTTAAAATACTCTATTTCTTCCATTTTATTCTTTTATTAATCTTTTTAGCGGTATTCTGAGAGAGGCATGTGGAATCTAAGTGTCTGTAATTTGAAGTAATCTATTCTTATAGCAAATACATCTGTCCGAATTCATACATAATGGCTATGTTACATAACCGCAAACTAGCTAAAATGCTGACTGGGGAATTCTGGAAGTTGAAGCCCACACATCTTAAAGTTGACAAGTTTGAAAAACATTTCCCCAGCCTGTTGGGTGAACCCAGATTGTATGATTAGTTTATAGTTCAGTCTGTTCAACAAACCCCAAACATAAATAGCGTTAATCAGATAAACTATGGCTCAGTTAACCATTGGTAAGCATGTTGTTCAAGCATAAGTATGATTACTTTGATTTGGACTTAATGTTATATGAACCCAGCCAACTGAATAAACCACAATTCAGCAAACCATAGCTTAGCTTAGCATCATATGTACACATAATACAGCCTTTTAAAAGGTATAGATGAGACACAAAAGCCTAAGGAATCAACTGACATTGCTAATCCTGACTGATTTCAAAAAGCAAGAGGATCTGACTTGGTTAGTGCTTGGATGGGAGATGACCCAGGAAGCACCAGGGCTATAGATAAGACTGAAACTGGGGGACAAAAGAAGACTACGGCAAACCATTTCCATGCTGTTGTCAAGAAAACTACAGGCATGTACCCATGAAATTACTAGGAGTCCAGCTTGAAGGAGGTGTTAGATTCTTAAGAAGATACAATTCTTATATGATGCTAAACTGTCTTGTAGTTAGTCTTATTGTTAGACATACCATGATACCACAATAATAGTTTATAGTTAGTTTACTCATCTAAATTATGGCCCACTCTGCCATCCAAACCCAATTGTAGCATCGTCATTCTCTCTCCTTTTAGGGTTCTGATATAAAGAGCTGGAGTAGTGGCAAAATGGGACCAGTTCAGGCATCCCACTTCCATTGTTCCTGTCTCTCTATCCAGTCCCATTGGGCAAAAATGGGCATCTGAAGTGCGTGGGGAGTTTTAATGAAACAATAAAACCCACAAAGCAAGAGGTATCAGCCAACCAGCTTTCTCAGAGACAGCTGGAAAAATGGCCAAAATGGAGGAAAATCGACAATATGCATGATCAGATTTAACCAGATTTAATTTAGAACTTTTTGTGTGAATATGCTCCATCACACTTGGTGTCTCAGTTCCTGTCTCAGAGAAGTTATGTATAAATTTAATATATATTTTCTACAATTAGCAGATCGGTTGCAGAAAATAAAAATGTTTCTTCTTCAGGTAATGCTTCTGTTCCAGAAAAAAACAGTGATTTCCTTAAAGTCATTCTGTGACTCTTTGCTCAGAATGTAACCTTTACCTTCCTGCTGGTTAGCTGCAGCACTCATATAAGTTAGCTGTTTTTTTCCTCCCTGCACTCAGGCTGAGAATTTTGATTACACTCAAGAGTTAATGTTGACTATTAGAGAGAATTGGATAATCCAAGATTTGAAAACAAGTATTATCGTGAGTATTTTTCAAGATTTCTTTACAGTGTAAATACAGCCTAAACTGTTAATGAAAAGCTGCAGTCTCCTCTAATTGTGATTTTCCCATTGGAACTTACAAGAGAATAAAGTCCTTGGTGAAGATGTCAGTGCTGTTTCATCATTTGTAATGAAATGAACCACTTGTTACAGCTGGAAATACAATACATGGGGACTAATTACAAAGAGGGAATGAGATCTTTTTAATTACTTACTGTTAACAGACTTCCTAGTAGTTAAAAAAATCCTTTTTATTCGAGACAATTTCTCACCTGACATTGGCAGCTTTTAAAGCTTCTTTTATTAAATAGTTGAAGGATGAAGTAAGAGAGATGGGACGAGAGAAGGGATGGCAGATGGCAGAGGGAGGAGGGAGAAAAGAAAAAGTAGATAAAAGGGCAGAAGAATGAAAAAAAGAAAGTACACACAGAAGAATGGCAAGAAATAAAAGAAAGCAATTCAAAGTATTTCTTTAAATAGGGATAAGAAGATTCTGAAATCTCTCAGGATTATACTTTTTAAAAATAAAAAAGATATGTATGGAAGCTAATATTGACATAGCTTTGAACATTTAGCACATTTAGAAGTCTTCAAATAAAATCATTAAGTTTTAACCACAATTTTTAATGTATAATTAATAGCTGCAGCTTCCTTGAAGGATAAGTTTTGGATATGACTGAAAAATTGGGACCTGTTGTAATGAACACATTGGAAACCTATAGATGTTTACTCAGAATAAATATAAATGACAATATTCACAGCAGGTGTGCAGTGTGATCTATGAAAATCCTTAGAGATATTTGCAGTATAAGCTTTCCATTACTGACTGGGAAATTAACAAAAGTCCTCCGGTAAGTTTTTTCCCCCCATCTGTGGACCTGAATAAAGAGATGTGACCGTCTGCCTACTTAGTTTTTTTGTCTGCTATGAATGAGAGCTAGAGAACTGCAGAAGAAATGGAGGGAGGCTGAATGGGATGATAGTCCTTTCATTAGATTTTACTAGGAACCACAGCTCAGCAGATGACATGACATCCAGTTAGGTCCTTCATAGAGCTTGGCTTACCTGTTTTTTGTGTGTAACAGAAAAAGCATTCTGTATGAAGGCTGCTGTCTGGCATTGCTGTCCTGTGTTTTCACAGTGCCAGGTAGCCTGTAGGGGATTTAGAGGAGCCAAACTAATTAATTTTAATTAAGCTAATGAATGATTAATTGTTGGCTGAATTCTTGCAGAGGGAATGCGAACAGAACTTTGCAGTATTCTTTGAGGAGCTGTAGGCTGGGTGCCTTCTCTTGTGGTGCTTTCCCATTCATAAGACCTTCCACTTTGTCCCACCTCCTGGGATTTCTCTCTTTCTCCTTCCAACAAAGCTCTGGCCTGTCTTGCCATCATTCCCACAATCATTCCTGTTGCTTCAGGTGGTGGCTTTCCTTCATTGCAAAAAGCAAGTGGGGGTGACGGAAGAATTTATTTATTTATTATTTTCTGGGGGTTGTGGTGTCACTCCATTTCAATAGGATTCTGAGGACAAGGATAGGGCATGGCTGGTTGCTGGGTTTTGCACCCTGCTCCCCCCTTGAACAACTGGATGAAGCACTGGAAGGATGGAATACAGCAGTGAAGATGCTTGAGCAGTTTTATGGCCAAGTGGAAGTGCTTTTAGACTGACTCATGGCACAAAAAGGGAGAGGCTCCTAGATGCTTTGGTCAAACCAACCTGATCAGCAAGTTGGTCCAAACACTATTATGGTCACTGACACTTGCAGGCTATTTTCTCAACAGGGTTATTTTCAAATGTTCCCAGTGAAGGAAGGTGAAAAGCAACCCATTGGTTGCTTTTGTGAGAAGAAAAAAATACAGTGAACTCAGTGGGATTTTGTCAGGCATAAGCCAACTTGGGCCAGTCACACTCTCTCAGCCCTAGGAAGGAGGCAATGGAAAACCACTGGGAAATCTGGCCAAGGAAACTGCAAGGAGTAGTCTAGGCAATCGCCAGGAGTCAACACCGACCGGAGGCATTAAAAAAAAGTGGGGGCGGGGGATGAAGAACAAAGCTTCTAGTCAATCCAGTTACTGCCCTTAATTAAGAGAAGGTTGTTATGCGTGTGTGTATGTGTGTTTTGGTTTGCTTGTTTCTCTTCCCCTAAGCTATAAAAGACGCTCAAGCAGAAATCCCCATCGCTGACCAGGTTCCCGTCTGAAGACCAGACCTGTGCTGGCTGCAAATATGACCAGGGCAGGGGGACGGGGCTGCCGGAGGGGGCAAAATTATGTTAATCAGGGAGGCGTCCCCAGGTGCCCAGTCTGGGTGCTGCTGCTGCTGCTGCCGCCGGCGCCACCCGCGCGCGGAAGAGCAGAACTTGGCCGGGGGCAAAGCGAGTCCGGCAGCGGGCCCGCCCTCGCCTTCCCCCGCCCAGCAGCCGGACGCGCTCCCTGGCGGGGAGACCTTCCCTAGCCGTGGGAAAGGCGAGCAAGAGCGCTCCTCCTCCCAGGTTCGAGCGGCCGTTTCTGAAGCCTCCCGTCGCACGCCCAGATGGAGTCGCGCTCCGGGCGTTTCAAGGCGCTTCTTCGCGCGTGGGTTCTTCAGGGTGAGTTGCAGAAATCGTGGGCTTTTGGCGGGCGCGATTCATGCGGTGAGCGATGTGGGGCCAAGAGTGATGAGAGCGAAGAGCCGGAAGGCCGCTTTTCGGGGTCACAGCTGATGGAGCCCGAGGGAAGGCAACGTCCACGTGGCTCCTGTCGGGTTCTCTTTTG